ATTGCTACAGTCACTATATTATACCTATCTTGTTGGGGTCTTCCTTTTTCACACTGACCCTCCTGCACTCTCTAGCAATAACATACTTCCTAAAATCTACATTTATAAATGCTAAGCCAAGATTATTCTCATAGTTTTGTTATAGGCAACCATTTTCATTTTATGGAAATGAAAGGAATAAGTATATTTTTTTTAATTTAGGTTGTTTATTTTTCATTTCAATGAACATCTACAGAGATTTGGGGATTCCATTCTTTCATTGTTGCACCCTTCTCCCCGCCCCCCCGTTTGCTCCTCTCCTTGAAAAGCAAAAGAAAAACTCCCTCATTGGAGTTCACTAGTTCACTTTCTTTTTAAAAAAATATATTCAGTCATTGATGAACAATTTTTTGGGGTTTATTTTTCTTTTGTTATTTATTTACTGGTTACTTTTGAAAAAAAAGAGCTCTCATTGAGGCATATTTTTGCATATTATATAATGCGCCCACCCAATCGTATTCAGTCATTTTTAAATAAATTTATCAAGTTGTATAGACATTACCATAATTCAGTTTTAGCACATTTCTATCACCTCATTGACCTCTTATGCCATTTAACTATAAACCCTATCATTCACCAGCCCTCAACAAAAATTATCTGTCAACCTATCACTCACTTTGCAGCCCTGGGCAACCACTAATCTATTTTCTTCCTCTCTGGATTTGCCCTTTTAGATATTTCTACGTTAATGGAATCATAAAACATATGGTCTCTTGTGTCTGTCTTCTTACTTAGCATAGTGCCTATGAGGTTCATCGAGGTATTATCACCTATCAATAGTTCGTATTTTTAAAATACTGTTTTCTATACTGGTTTGCATACAAAATTCGTGTAGATTGAGTTTCACACTTCATTCATGTTGTGTTTCATACAATCATTATCATACATTGTGCTTTATTAAAAAATTAATTACATTGAAGAGTTCATATTTTTTCATTTTTTATTGCTAAAAAATAGTGCATGATATACCATGTTTTGTCATTTTACTCACTAGTTGGATGGTATTTTGGTTTGAACTCCCCGCCCCGCAATTATGGTTTTATAAAGAATGCTGATGAAAATATAGAATACCACTATTAAATTTTTAAGTTTAATAGCTCTTAAAATTGGGGTTAAATTATCCATCAGATAATTCTCTTCATCCAGCTGGTTTCTCCAAATGTGGACAGTACAGTTCCCTGAAATTGCAACTAAAGTTGATATTAATGTTTTAATAAATAACTTTAGGACTAAATGGCCCAGAGAAGAAAAGCTTAGTTAATCTAATAACAATCTTATTCTGTGCTGGCTTATGAGAAACTGTTAGCCAAATGTCCTCCATCTTCACAGAAAATAAATGAGAGGAATTGGATTTAAGTCTCAGCAAAAACACTTCAGATAGACCTAAGGATACTTATTTTATATGACAGTGGATGATATCAAGTTAATGTGCAATATTATAAAAACAAAACCTGTGTCATTTCCTCTGAGAGAAGCTTATACAAATGGATTTTAATCTGTCTGCAGCCATGTGGCCCTTTGTGATCCCCTAAAAGGAATATTGTTCTTTATTTTTCCTTTTAATATTGTTCTTTTGAGATAGCTTTTTTGGTATGTTTTAGGAAAGAATGTTCTGTTTTCAAAGAGACCATTTCATTGTACTCATGAGAAATAAAGCCAGTCATCAAAGAGTTTTACACAAACTCTGAGTAATCCAGGAGGCAGGACACCGCTTCAGTATCCTAAACAGAGGAGGGTGCTTTAGCTAATTCTCATTTTCTAATAATAGCTAGAATAAGATAGACCCTAGATGAGATGGAGCAACTCATTGATTGAGGAAAAGGGGACAGGTGTGTCAGAGACAGTGAGGTTGGCTTAGGATAGAGCAGGGTTCAGAGCTGGTGTGCATAGGGTTGGCTACAAGTCACAGGCAACTCAACAGCACATAACAACTCAACAACAAACTCTCCTCCATTCTGAGGTTTATAGTCACAGAATAATTTCACACAATCCCCTTTAGATTTCACAGTTGAGTGGTTCTCGCAATTACCTGCGTCACAGGGCAGTTCAGAGCCCTTGCCAATAGAATTTCTTCTTTTTTTTTAATTATGAAATTTTATTAATTTTAATGAACATTTACAGAGATTTGGGGTTTTCATTCATTCATTGTTGCACTATTTTCTCTACCCTCCTCCCCAGTTCATTCTTCTTCCCCCACCCTTGAAAGTCTGTTTTAATTGTCCAATTGCCACAGTGCTTGTCAAAGTAGAATTTCTTCTCTTTTCTGTTTTTAATCTTCTGTTGTGTCCAGTGATGGAGTCTAGTTACATTGGGCTACTTATCTTCTTGAACATGGGCTAACTCCTCTATGATTTTACCATACTGTCTTTCTATATACCTTGTCTATTTGGAGAACTAAAGTTTAACTTGTAGTCAAGCCAACACACTGTCTTTTCTGTAAGTAAGTGCTCTCCTTTCCTGGGCCTCAGCAGAATTCATTGCTTCTCATTTTGGGCACGAAAATAAAGAAAACAAAAGTCCATTGTCATCAGAGCAAACTCATAGCAAACCCATATGCTCTAGAGGAGAGCTGCTCCACATGATGTCTTTGACCATAAGGTTTCCTTGACTGTAATATTTAAGAAACAGATCACTGTGATTTACTTCATCAGAACTGTTGGGTGAATTTGACATGAATCTTTAGGTTAACAGCTGATTGAAAACTAGTTGTGCTATCCACGGACATTTGGACATTCATACGGTTGAATAATACAGTATGAAGTATTACATCTGTGACTTTGGATAAGTAATGTAACTTCTCCATATTTTTCTTTCCTTATCTGGAACACTTTTGCATCTTTCTGAAGAATCCTATGGAACTCAGATGTCACAACATATTATATACAAATATAATAGATTCGTATTAAGAGTAGAAATAGGCACATATAACTTCAGATTATTTTTATAGTCAATTGACTGTGGGTTGTCTTGTTCCTTGACAACATCAATCTTGTTGCATTAATTTAAAAAAATTTATTTTATTAATTTTAATGAGCATATACAGAAATTTTGGTTTTCCATTCATTCATTGTTGCATTTTTTTCCCTGCCCACCCCATCCCCTTCCAGTTCGCTCTTCTCTTTGAAAAGAAAAATTCCTTCATTGGTATACAACATCCCCCTCAACCCCATACACTACACTATGCAACCTTCATTCTGAACTCTTGTCATAACCATAATACCCAGTCATATTTCGCTTTTAAACTGTTCTCTCCCTTATCTGTTGCAATGCAGTATACATAATTTATCCAATTTTTCTCAGTCTCACCCCAACCCTGATGTCAGTCTGTTCTACAACAGTGGCACTATGCAGTATTTGTCCTTTTGTGACTGAGATATTTCACTCAGCATAATGTCCTCCAGCATCACCCATTTTGAATAATATTGCATGAGTTCCTTGTTTTTTCAATGCAGCATAGTATTCCATTGTGTGAATATACCATGTGTTTACTTTTGTGTCCTAGATACCGAGCCGAGCCCACATCCTGATACATAATGAATTTTTTGTAAGTAGACAGGAGGCTATTATTATCATCACTGCATATTAGAAAGTAAAGCCCCAGATGCTATCATCCCATCATTAATTCATTATCACTTTTCCTTCATTTTATCAATAAGCCTCCATAGACCTTTGGAGGACTTGGAGTCTGAATCTATATGCTATCTATATGTCATCAAGGGTTGTTATACTCTAAGATATCACTGGGTTAACTCTTACTCATAGCAACCCTGTGTGTACAATGTGATCAAATGTTCCCTACTCCTGTGCCATCCTAACAGTAATAGGTGTGATTGAGCCCATTGTTGCGGTCATTGTGTCAGTGCATCTCATTGATGGTCAACCTCTTCTTCACTCAGCATATTGGTATCGTTTTCATAAAGCATTATTTTCATCGGCTCCTTGGAGGCAAGGATTCTGAGGCTTCGTCTGACATACTTTGGGCATGTTGCAAGGAGGGACAGGTCCTTGGAGAGGGACATCATGTTTGGGAGAGTGGAGGGACAGCACAGGAGAGGAAGACCCTCGATGAGATGGATCTATTCAGTGATTGGGGTGATAGGAGTAGGTGTGTCAAAGACAGTGAGGCTGACACAGAATATAGCAGGGCTTAGGGCTCTTATATGAAGGAAAAAGAAGAAAACCTAAGAATAATGTGGGACACCATCAAGAAAAATAACATGCATATCGTTGGAATCCCAGAAAAGGAAGAAGCAAGTAAAGGTACTGAAAAAGTTGTGGAAGAATTACTAGAGGAAAACTTCCCAGGCATAATGAAGAATTAGAGAATATGTATTCAGGGCTCTTATACGGTCACTATGAGTTGCAAGCGACTCGATGGTACATAAAAACAACAACAACATATCCTTAAGCTATAGAATTTTCAATATTTTTAAAAATTAATATGTATTTGAAGGTGTCATCCATGCTGTAATTTATAAGTATTTGTCAAGACAGTTGGAGAACAATTTTACCCAAGCCCTCTTGAAGATGACAGGTGCTAAGACCTAAGGGAATCCAGGCAGCTCAGATCTAAGATGAGAAATCTCACGTAGGGTGTGGTACAGTGTGGGCAGGTACAGAAAAGCCAGTTCTTCCACACATGAGCTACCTGCGTTCCGTGTCAGTTCTCGCCATCCGACTCCAACTTCTAACAGACTGTACACTTGCTCATTGACCTGCAAGCATGTTTCTGGCAAAGGCTTTGTTGGAAGGGGCCGATCGTGGTCTTGGAGAAGCGCTTGGAGGCCTTCTTGGAGGAGGTGGTCGGAGAGCAGGAGGAGGAAATATTGGAGGGATCGTGGGAGGCATTGTGAATTTTATCAGCGAGGCTGCAGCCGCTCAGTACACCCCAGAACCACCACCCACTCAGCAGCACTTCACCAATGTAGAGGCCAGTGAAAGCGAGGAAGTTAAGCGGTTTCGGAGACAATTTATGCAACTGGCCGGGCCTGACATGGAGGTGGGTGCCACTGACCTGATGCATATTCTCAACAAGGTCCTTGCTAAACACCCAGATCTCAAGACTGATGGCTTCACTCTTGACACGTGCCGGAGTATTGTCTCGGTCATGGACAGTGACACAACCGGAAAGCTGGGCTTTGAAGAATTTAAGTATCTGTGGAACAACATCAGGAAATGGCAATGTATTTACAAGCAATATGACAGCAACCATTCTGGGGCTCTGGAAAGTTCTCAGCTGCGAGGGGCTCTGCAGGCAGCGGGCTTTAAGCTACACGAAAATCTCTACCAAATGGTTGTCTGCCGGTATGCTGATGAGGATGGGAGTATGGATTTTAACAACTTCATCAGCTGCCTTGTCCGCCTGGATGCTATGTTTCGTGCCTTCAAGTCTCTGGATCGAGATGCCGATGGCCTCATTCAGGTGTCTATCCAAGAATGGCTGCAGCTGACCATGTATTCCTGAGGCCGGCACTGAGAAGGCCCGCCTGCCCTGGACAACGTGATTTCTACAAGCCGAGTGGTGCCCTCTGCAAGGTGGCTGATACCTACCATCCAAGGACTGCCATTGCTGGTCAGCCCGTCACAGCTCTGCCTGCTTCTTGTAACACCCTTTGCTACTTAATTAAAAAAGCTTTTTCATGAGAAGTTATTTGTGTGGTTTGTATTTCAGCATTTTGAGATACTATTTTAACAGAGATTTGGAGAAAGAGAGAGAGAGAGGATTCGGGAGGAGGGGAGAAGCTTGCAGGTGGACTCTAATGGGGAAGATATTTAGTGATTGCTTGTTTGTTGTTGTAAATTAAGTCCAAGAAGTAGGAACTTTGTTGTTAAGAATGAACTCTTAAAAAAAAAATCCTGGAGTAAATCAAGGAAGCACTCAAGAGATAGTATTTTTCCCTTATAAAAAGTGAGAAAGGGAGTTAAAAATCCTTTTTTTTTACCCCTTCTTTCTTAATCTCACATCTGGTCTTTCTGTTCTGTTAAAAATATGAAGTGTTTTCCAGGAAAGCTTCCTATTGAATCATATAGAAATAGCTTTAGACATAGGAAGTAAGCAGGTTCTCGAAGTCTGTAGTTTTATTTCTCCAGTAAAAAGAAAAAGAGTAAATAAGCATATAGCACTTTTGTTTTGTTTTGCTATATTACTAATGAGAGTTTTAGGGAATGAAGGGTGTATCTCTAGTTCAAGATATTTCTGGTTGCTTCCATGAGCCATATCTCTTATGTGTACTACCGACAAAATCAGACATGCCCAGCCCTCATTAGCCAGCTCTTGTCATGTCTTGCCCAGCTTGGAGGATGGAAAAGTCTTTTATTCCTTTTTTGGAAAACTACAGGCAGAATAAAGGTAAACAAAGTTTAAATAAAATATCGGACAGATATAAAGCATTAGAAAGACAAACATTGCTTACTTTATTACAGTTGTTCTCTGCTCTGCCTACAATGTAGAGTCTCTGAAAGAACCCTTTAAGGGTCCCAGGAATGCTCCCACCGACCCAGACGTGAGTGAACTAAGATCTTCAGAGATGGGGGTTCGGCTATACTGATGGTTAAGCTCCCCTGGTGATTCTAATGAGCTCCCAGGATTGAGAACCACTGCTTTAAAGTAAGACAGTCCCCAGGATTCTCAACTCTGACTCAGGAGCGAGTAAAGCAGAGCTAAGAGATTCACTACAGGGAGTCTGTGGGTGACAGTCAAGACCCCAAGGGGAATTTGAAGATGAATCAGAACAGGTGCAGCCTTAGCCTGATTTAAGACAAAGATTGACAGTGGCCCTGAGATGAATGGCTTCTGGTAACCTCGAGGCTGTAGATTTTTATGGGAGCAGACGGCCTCCTCTTTGCTCTAGGCATTGACCAGTAGATTCAAACTGAAGACCTTTTGGTTAGCAGCTGAATGCTTTTACCCAGACCATTCCCAGGGCTCTTATCTATAAACTATTTCCACTCACTGACATTGAGTCTGGTGCAAGAAAGTACTTGAAGCCCTCTCTCAGTGCTTTAAAAGCTGGCTGCATGCATAGCAAGTGAAGGTATTTGTAATGAATGATTTGTTTCTAGTAGCATCTCCAGTGGTTTGAATCCCTGTGTGGCCTTGTGGGACTGGGGATTCTGGAGTCAATGAGACTGGCTCAGGACGGTGCAGGCTTCGGAGATGCTATACATAGGGTCACTATGGGTACAGGCGACTCAACAGCACTTACCTAACACCACCACCTAACAGCAGCTTTGTGGGAAAAAGATGGACATTATCTTCCTGTTAAGATTTATGGCCTGGGAAATCCAAATCTTTCTGTTATGTTAAATGGTGGCTTTCTGCGAGTCAAAATATACTCAGTGGCAGTGACTTTTGAGTGAGGGCTTGGTTCAAGATGCCCTGGTTAAAATGGGTTACGTGTAGTTCTGCTTACTGCAAGGTGAGCAGTTTTCATTTACTAGAACCACTGGTGGACGACTGGGGAACCTGGTGTCCTAGAGGATTAGGAGTTGTACTGCCAGTCCAAAGGTAGGTGGCTCAAATCCACTAACTATTCTTCAAGAAAACGATGGTCAGTCTCCTCCTGCATGGTTTACAGCCTCTGAAAACCTGCTGGAGGGTCAGCTTTGAGTGAGTTCAAACTCACTAGCACATAACAACAGTTTCTCAAGAGAAAAATGAAGCATTCTCTTTGCTGAAAGATTTATCACCTCAGAAATTTGATGTAGGGTCTCTGTGACTTGTGGCTAATCGTTTGGTTTTTCCACCCAAGGGAAGTCTTTTCAAACTGAAGGCAGATTTACATGGCTTTAAATGGCAAATTGTAAGTCAAACATTTCTAACCCAGGGACTATCTATACTGCTAGCTCTCAGAAGGAAGATAGGAATATCAGGAGCCAGTCTTTAGCTTGGCTTTGCCATTTTTATCTCTGGGGTCCTGAAGGCATGCAGTTCAAGGCCACCAGCAGCTCCACAGGAGAAGGATGGGCCATCTCCTCCCATGCAATTAACTGCCTCTGAAAACTCACCCGAGGGTCAGCCATGGATCGGTTCTATGGTACACACACAACAACAGCAACATTATTCAGTGAGCAGAAACCAGAATCCCAGGGTGAAGTGGACTCGGGGGAGTGAGAATACATTCCTGAGTGCTCAGTTCATCTTCCTGCTTTTTAATTAGTTCCCACCTCCCCTGCCTGTCTGGTTTTTAATTCCTTCCCTCTCCTGCAGGCTATTTTTGGAAAGTCCATGCAGAAAGGTGATGTGTCATGAGTTGAAAGAGAAATTCTCTTTCCTGACCAACTCCTTTCAAAGAAAGTTGTAGCTGTAGAAATTGTGTAACTGGCCTGTTAGCAGCCTTTTAGCTTTTGGCCTCTGTATTCACCATCATCACCATCTAATATTTATGAAACACCAGTGTATCTGATTCAGGTGCATAGAGACTGGGCCAAGTGTGGAGCTCACGTCCTTTTCCTCAGGGGACTTGTCATTTAAGCTGGGCCTGGCGTGCTGTTTGGACCAGGTGTGCTTATAGAAATGGTGGGGATGCTGCCAGCAGCCACATATTAATGTTAGTATCTCTATTTTGGAAGAGGCCTGCTTACATAAAGCAAGGGTGTAGGAGAATTGCCAGGTGAGGGGAAAGCTGCCAAGATGTCTTTTAAGGTCTCAGGAAATTGGGTTATGATTTAGCCTTTCCACATGGTGAATGTGGAAAGGACAGTATAACCACACATCCTTCCTTCATTTCATTTTTAAATGTTTTACAAAAGTCAAGACAACTATTTACATTTGGACTAAGGTTAAGTATACTACTACTTGCATCTCAAGAAGGGATCCAGGTGGTGCAATGGGTTACAAAGGAGCAGCTAATTGAAAGGTTGTTGGTTCAAATCTACCAGCTGCTATTCAGGAGAAAAGTTGGGGCAGTCTGCCCCTAAAAGATTTACACCCTCAGAAATGCTATGGGGTTGTTCTCCTTTGTCCTGTAGGATCTCTAAGGAGTCAGAGTTAACTAACTGGCAGTTAGAGGTTTTTAGGTATTTCATTTTGGTTTTTGGTTGCTCCTCAGATAGAAGTACTACTAGTAAGACTCTTTTCTAGCAGGTTGTTGTTGTTGATTGTCGTCAAGTATGACTCATAGCAACCCTATGAATAAAAGACTGGAAGCCTTTCTATAACTATCATTGTTTCTCTAAGTTCATAGAGTTTCCAGAGGCATGTTGTTTAGGAACTAGATGCCACTCTTACTCTCTTCTAGCAGGTAGAAACTGATAATACCCAGGGGTTTGTTTTTGTTTCTTTTTTCTGCTCTGAATTTTCACCTAATTCATTTAAATAATTCCTGGAGTGTATACTGACATCCTGGAGAGGGTTAAACTGGGCTGCTCCTTGGAGGCAAGGATTCTGAAGCTTCATCTGACATACTTTGGTCATGTTGTAAGAAGAGACCAATCCTTGGAGAGGGACATCATGCTTGGGAGAGTGGAGGGCAGGCACAGGAGAGGAAGGCCCTCTATGAGGTGGATTGATTCAGTGACTGGGGTAATTGGGATGAGTGTGTCAGAGACAGGGCGATTGGCACAGGACAGAGCAGAGTTTAGGGCTGTTGTACACAGGGTCACTATGAGTCGCAAGCGACTTGACGGCACATAACAACAACAACATACTGACATATGGCAAACTATCACATATGGTTTTGAAAAGTATCTTTGTCAATGACTTCCTTTTGCTTGGATCCACAGTTACCACCTATATAGGAGCAAGAGTCAAGAAATTAATTTTTTTTTTTCTGCACTGGGCAAATCTGTCGTTAAGTACTGCCAAAGTACTAACATGGAAAGATACTCGTATGAAACCTAAGGTGCTCCTGATCCAAGCTATGCTATTTTTAATTGCTTCCTAAGCATTTCAAAGTTGGACAATAAGTATGAAACTTTTTCAGTCCATTTCTTTGTGGATGGATATTGGGCTAGTTCCTTGTTCTTCCTATTGTGAATAATGCTGCTGTGGACTTGGGTGTAGAAATCTCTGTTTGTGTCTCATTTCTATATCCCTTGGAGTATATTCCCAGCACTGGGATGGTTATATGGAATATCTATGTTCAGCTTTTTTGAGGAAATGTCAATCTCCCTTTCAGAGTGGTTGTACCATTTTACAATCTCCCATCAACAACATATGAGAATTTCAGTCCTATCTATATCCTCTCGAACAGCCACTGCTCCTGGGGTGAGATGGCATCTCATTGTGTTTTTTATTTGCATCTCTCTTATTGCCTGTGATTTTGAGCATTTCTTCGTGTGTCTTTTGGCCATCTGAATGTCTTCCTTTGTGAGAAGTCTTTTGTCAATTTTGTGATTGGATTATGAGTTTTTTCTTTATGGCAGCTCTGTAGTATTTGGAAAACCTGTTATGAGACCCTTTTGTGAGATGGTATTGCCAAATATTTTTTTCCAATTCAGTACTGAATAAGTCTTGGAGAAAGT